GGGGGCTTGTGTACTTGGAAAATTGCCCTCAAATAAAAATGAAAACAAAGCAAAAACGGTAAATTTACTTCCAACAATAAGGCTAGCCCTATCGATTTTGAAAAACAAATTTCCCTCCATAGATAAGCCTCCCCGATTATAAGCCCCTCCAAAAATAAGACCCTCAAAAAGGGCCTTTGAAAAATATAAGCCCCGGGGCTTATGTTCGGAAATTTACGGTACTCGTTCATTCACGAGTAACAGAAAAACAACCACTAATTCTTACGAATCGCTGACAAATGAGCTACCACCCCATTGAGACCCTCCTTAAAGTCCTTAGTATCGAGATGCTCGTGACAAATTAAGTTTGATATTGGTATATAAAGGCTTTACCGCTTTCGCTTCAGATCTCGCGGACGTGATTTTGACAATAGAAAGTTGGCAAATTTGTTCTGTAGAAAGAGCGAGATGTCACGTAGAGACGCTGTAGCAAACCTACTCTAGAGTTGTAAAAAAACAAAGAAAACTAAAACAAAAACAAAATGAAATCAGCTTGTTTTTTTCAAATGATGATTCCGCTAAATGTTTTTTAAAAAGTCTAATGTCCCTTTGAAATGCAGTTAAGACTACTCGACGACCAACGATAAAAATACAAGATAAGTCAGATTTACTCGTTTTTCAACTTTTATTTCACTAACTTTAACAACAGAACTTATGCCCTATGAATATGCTGTAGGCGTAATATTCGACAACTTAATTTATCTCTCGAAAACTCGAAAAACTCAACAGTAAAACGCTTCGAGCATAAGTTATAGTCAGCTAATAACGAATGAACACAAAATAATATTTTCGCAAATTTTATGGCGAAAGAACTCTAGCGTAACAAAAAGTAGTCACTAAAGAAAAACACTTCAACAGAAAAAAAAATTACGAAAACTATTACCTCTATCATCCTTGTTTCGGTTTTCAAAAACGATTAGCAAAAAAGGCAAGTGAAACTATCAACTTACTCTTTACAATTGACAAAAAAAATCAGAAAAGGCCTATTATCATCTGTGAGGTGGTAAATTGCTCCAAAAAAATAGCTGACCTGATATACTTTGCATCCTGAAATGTCGCTTTATGTTTTTTGCCTTAAGAATTTAATCAACAATATAGCAAAAGTTAAAAATGTTTTACTAAAGAGTAGGTATGTCTTACAACCAGCCAACATAGTTCATTCAGTTTGGTTCTCTTCTTCTGTATCACCACTCTCTGCTTGTTTGGCCTCGTCTTCAGGTGATTGCTCATCAAGTTCCATGGAGACGTCCACATTTCTTTCCTTTGGTAACAAAGCTGGATCACGTGACGCTTCTATAATCAGCAAGCCTTCCTTGGAGAGGCGTGACGTCACTGAACCAAGGTCTGCATCATCAGGCAACAAAACGCGATGGCTGTAGTCACGTGAATGATAGAAACCTTGGTCTTCTGATTTGTGTTTTCCTATGACTTTCAGCTCATGTCCACGAAGCTGAACCTTGATATCTTCTGGTTTAAATCCACGCAGATCCAATTTAACCAGGAACTTGCCATCGTCTTGTTTTGCTTTTTCTTCAACGCGCCTGTTGCCTTCAACGACAAGAACGTTGCCTTTATTCAGAGTTTTGATTACACGCGATTTCACTGTTGTAGGATCAACTCCGTCTGCCACCTTAATAATCTTTTTAAACTCATTATTCTCAAATCCATCTTCTCTCTCTGATCGAAGCTGACCATGTAAGATGATATTTTCGCCGTCCACATCGAGTGAAATGTCATCTGGCTTGTACTGCTTTAGTGGCAGAGAAGCAATCTTGATTGGGCTCTGCGCTGCCAATTTATTTTGGCCGTGTTAAAAGCTAGTGTCTCGCGCCTGCTCGTCTGAAGCAAGAGCTATATCTCTCCACAGGTCATGCAAAAACCCAAAACCTGGAACAGCTTCATCATAGTCTCTACTGTAGAAATAAATGAGAAAAATGACAGTTAAATCGGTAAGACTGACTTAACCTGCATGCCTCAGAGGTTTTTTAATTATTAACTGGTATTTTTTACGCAAACAGATTTTCTCCTTTGTCGGTAAGAATTGAGTTATTGCCCAATTTTGCTGACACAAGAATCCTAATTTTCAGGCACTTCCAGTTTTCTTTTTCTTGATTTCTCAATAATACTAGTAGTTAGTAGAATGGCATATCTGGCGCACTTTTCAAGTCAAAATAATCAGAAAATGACAGAAAATAATAAGATTCCTGAATATGCAAAAGACTTCAAAAAAGAATGGCTTTACATAAGAGGGATTAATAAGGAATTTATGTATTTGATTAATAAACTGGATTTATTAAATCATGGATTATTTGAGACAAAAATAGTTAATAGAATTAAGAATATTATGAAAGATTTTTTAAGAGCACAAGAAAAAGGTAAATTAAAGAATATTAGTAATTTTATTTTACCAGGTGATATTATTTGTAATTTAAATTCTATTAATAAAAATTTTGAATTATATAAACTACGTTATGATGCTTTTTGTGATGATGATGATTTTGTTTATGGTAGTGATAGTGATGATGAAAATGATGAGTATTTAGTTGATGGAAAACCTTATCCTGGTTTTATAGAATTCTATGATATTTTTAAAAAAATTTATAATCAAATAAAAAATGAAGATAGTGATAGTGATAGTGATTATGAAGATGATGATAGTGATAGTGATGATGATTTCTAAACTTATAACATTTTTTGTTACAAGTTTAAAGAGGATTAATTAATATAACCAACTAATAAAAATGGAGCCAAGATCAAGAGAGACTACTCCTACAAAAGAGGATTTGGATTTTATAGTTGATGATGGTTATAGACATGATGAGGATCCAGATTATGTTCCAGATGAAAAAATTATTCTTAAAGGACCAGAGTTTAAGAGATTAACCAGAAATGCTAAAAAAAACTTGATGCAGAAACAATTGATTATTCAACCCAAAAATAAAAATTGATTTATGGTTTAAAGATTATCTAGATATATAATAAAATGCAGTTAACAGCTTACGAAAATATTACCCAAGAGAATATTATCTTTAATGAAGCCAAAGAGTATAAAGTCAAAGATAGCAAGATTAAATACAAACGTATTCCAATTGAAGTCAAATATCCAAATAACAAAAAAGGACCACTTGTAGTTGAATCTCCAGTTCTTTTCAGTTTTGGTGTTAATGAACAGAAAAATAAAGAAACAGGTAAATTAGTTGGTTATAGTATTCCAGTATGTCTTTGGTCTAAAGATAGTGAACCTAGTAGTAAAGAGCAAGCATTTTTTGATGTTATTAATAATGTAAAAACTCTATCTCAGCAACATTTAGAGAATGAATATGGTGCAGATTTAGCATCATCTCTATCTTCACCATTTTACTATAAACAAATAGAATACACAAACAAGAAAGGAAAAAAGAGAAAAAAAGTTGATGAATCATCAGCGCCAATTCTTTATGCAAAACTTATTTACTCTGAGAAATCAAAGAAAATTCTTTCACTATTTAAAACAAAAGGAAAGAAGGATTTAAATCCTTTTAAATATATTAATCAGTATTGCAATGTTAAAATGGCACTAATAATAGAAGGAATATTTATTAGTAACAATGTTACATCTTTACAAATAAAAGTACATGAGTGCTATATCAAACCATTAAAACCTAGGGAGTCTTTACTAACAATTGAGGAAGAGAGTGAGGGTGAGGAGATGCCTGATCAAGTAGTTGAAGACTTACTTTTATCTGATGAAGAAGATGAGTAAATAACTATTCTTAATACAATATTTGTATTAAAAATCAACCAAATCCTTAGAACTCACCCACGAGTTAAATTTATTAGGATATCCTCTCCATTTTACTAATGCCATTTTTTTCTTATTATCTCTCCTGATTATCTTTTCTATTCTAAATGTCTGTTGTTTTGCTTTCTGTAATTCTTGCTCGTAGAAAGAACCTTTAATCTCTTCTCCCATCAAATCAGTAATAGAATATGTAATAGGTTTTGTTGGTAAAACTTTATCAATTACAAATATTTCCTCTGTCCAGTTTGGTGTGTAACCTTTATCAAATACTCGCCTCTTATACTTAGAAATTCTAACACGATCACCAACCACAAATTTTGATTTACCAGGTTTTGTGTAAATTAAATTGCCGTACAAATTAGACCAAACATTATTTTCATTTTTCTTTTTACTAGCTTCAACAGGAGTCATTTTTATACTAGAATGTCTCGCATTATTATAGTCATAAACCAGTTTATCTATCTTATCCCAGTAAACAGTATTATTATTCACAGTAAACATCTTCCACATTCTGTTTTTCATTGTTTTATTCCATCTCTCAACAACACTAGATTTTTCCTCGTTTTCAGTGTGATACAACCTAATTCCCTCTCTTTTCAGAAGCTCTTTGAAATGTTTACTTATAAACTCAGAACCTTTATCAGTCCATAACATTTGAGGTTTACGTTTACTTTTGAATATGTCCTCAAATGCTTTACTAACAGTTTCAGTTTTCTTATCTTTCAATCCCTTAATCCATCCATATTTGCTAAACACATCAATAACCATTAGAAGATATTTTATCCCTTTATTCCATTTACTAAACTTTTGCATTTCAACCAAATCAGCAGCCCAGATATCATCAATCCCATTTGAGATTACTGATCTTTTTTGAAAGTTTCGTGTGATTGGTTTGTGAAGTTCGTCGGCTAATTGTTGAGACCAATCACTACTCAACGCCGACTCGCGTTTAAACCCATTCCAAGTTTTTGTTTTGTATTTATCATAGTTCTAGCCATAGCATGGCCCCATTGTCTTTCTTTCAAAGGAATTGCATCCAGGGATTTTACCATTTTTTTATCAGCTTCATTTTTACATTTTACTTGTTCACTTTTTGGTTTATTTCCACAAACTGTGTAATCCACATCATGTTGCATACTAACCGCATCAGTTGGCCCTGTTGGTTGTTGGTAGATTTCTAATATATTACCTTCATCATCGTGTCGTAGTTGTTTATGAAGAGGATTACCAGGACCGGTATAATTATGACCTGGTAAAACGAAACCTTTACTGGGTGCTACTTTGAGAATAGCATTGTGAATATCTACTCCTCTTCCATCTAATTCTGGTCTATCAGTTTTATATTTCTTTTTCGGTCTCACTTTGGTTGATAACTGGTCCATTGCTGATCCAACAGAATCTTGAATAAATGGAGTGAGTTTACTGATTCCATAATTTACAGCTTTCTTCTGAAGATTTTTATTTCTCATTAACTCGCTTGCTCCATATCGCCCCATTTCAACTGCTTTTTTACCCATCCAAGGTAAACCATAATGAACAAATCCGTCAACTGCTGTACCAACTACTGTGTCAAAAAGACCTGAACCGTATTTATTTTTAACTTCAGCTAAAGATTTGTATATTTTGTTAGTTCCTAAACCATCATTAAAAAAATCTTTTACATGATCATATCCAATTTGTTTGCCATTTTTCTTGACAATCATTATAGGATTACCTTTTTTGAGATAAAATTTTTTACCACCGTAACGAAAGACCCTTGTTTCACCCGTCCAGAAATTGGAAGTAAATATGCCATCTTCTGAATTAACAACACCTCTAGCAATATCACCAGACCAATAATCTTTAAATGTTTGCTTTGTTTGAGGAAACAAGGTTTCTGAAATTTTTTGTCCCACATTTATTCCTGTTTTGATTGGTCCAAAAGCATCAGAAAAACCTTTGCCCGCCATCACTGACGGGCTTACTAGTTTTTTGACTTCTTTTTTGTTTTTCTCTTTTTTCCACTTCCACTTTGAGAAGTTGATCCAGTTTTCACATATCTAACTTTTTTATTTCCACAAACTGCGCATCTGCAAAAGAATTGAGTTCTACCTCTTTTATCTGTTTGGTAACCACTTGGCTCTGTGCAAGGGGTTACTCTTTTATCTACAATACAATATGATTCTTTCATTTAGTATAATGTTTAGATAAAATACATATACGAAGTATGACTACTAGATCTAATTTTTTGAAAAGTGAACTTCAAAAGATATATAATGTACTTAACATGAGTTATGAATATGCTGATTTTGCTAGATTGGAAAATGACATTAAATTTATAAAAGTATTTGAGTTGCTTATGGAAATAAGTGAGAAATCAAATACTCTCAACAAAGTTGTAAAAGGTAATTATCTATTCATATAACAAATGGAAGCCAAATTCTTTTCTGAGATAGAAAAAAAGATGGATGTTAAAACACTCAAAGATTTTGAGAAAGAATTAAGAAAAAAAATAGTAAATGAGTTTGAAACTCTTAGAAAAACTAATGATGATCTTTCTAGAATACTAATGGCTGGTGAATGTGAGATGTGGAAAAAAATCAGAGATGAGGACTATTCTTGGTTGAAAATAAATAGTGATAAAAAGAAGAAACTTTATCGACTTATTAATATTTATTTGAAATTTGATGAAATAGTTGATAGTGTTAAAGATTTAAATAAAAAAGTTGAGAGTGTTAAACAACTAAAGAATTTGCCAGATGATAGTGAATAAAACTATTTAAAGAATAAAATTATTATATAAATGACAAACATGATGGAGAAGAAGTTTACTAATAAAGATTTAGGAATTGAGTTAAATTCTTATATTGATAAACAGCAAAATGTTTGGTTTCGTGGAAAGGATGTTGCTGAGATTCTTGGGTATAGAGATACTAATCAGGCTATTAGAAAAAATGTATCTAAGAACCATAAAATGAACCATCTTGTATACCCCCAAATGTTGACCCGTCGTCTGGACGGGTCAACAAAATGTTGCCCCCCTGAATCACGGGGTCAACAAAATGACAGCAAAGTAAAATGTTGCCCTGGTAAAACACCAGGTAAACAAAATGACACTAGAGGAAAATATTGTATATTCATAGATGAGGCTGGTTTTTATGAACTTGTATTTGGTTCTAAATTAGAAGCTGCTAAAAAATTCCGCGATTGGGTATTTACCACAGTTCTTCCATCTATCCGTAAATATGGACAATACAAAATGTTTGATAGTCCTTGGAATAAGATGATAATGATTGGTAATGAGACAGACCTTCACTACAAAGTAGTTCAACTAATTAGGAATTATTACCCAAATTCTATATTAGTAGCTGGATTGGGAGAGAATCAAGATACAGAGGAAAAAAGACTAGATTCATATAAAAAGGGATATCAACGCGGTCAACCAGATCTAATGATTCTAGATTATCATAGGGAATATAAAGGTCTCTGTATTGAATTCAAATCACCAACTAACAATTACTCTGTATCAGAATCTCAAATAAAGATGAAAGAAAAGTATCGTAGTAATGATTACGCATTTATTCTAAGTAATGATTACGATAAGATCAGCAAACTTATCCACAAGTATATGGCTGGTGTTCGTATTCTTTGTAAATACTGTCCGCGAGCATTTCGTAACAAAAAAACGCTAAATAAACATTACCAAGTTATTCATAGGATTGAGAAGAATATTTAATTTTTGATATTAATTTGAATATCAAAAATATACTACCCCCCAAAGTATGCTTTTATAAAATCACTGTTGTCATCATCAAAATGTGGATTATGTATTACATCTAGTATACTAGTACCCTTCTGTCTCTCAAACAGATAATATAAACACCAATAACCACATAGAACAGTACTACGATTTTGTATTTCATCTGTTGAGTAAACTATTCGTTTTCCAGAAGTATAAAAATACTTTAATGCTTCATTTGGCATTACCAACCCAAATGGATCAAAGTACTCAACTACATTATCTATATTTCTATAACAAACCCAATGTGTTCCAGGACCTTTCATATCATCAAGATTAATTATTCCACATTCTTTTTTTATCTTATGAGGTAGCCCATCCCTACTGTAAATTCCTCTAAAATGTTTAATACCAAGTTTCTTTATCCATTCCATGAGGTCAAAGTTGGAAAGCGGTTTTATTTTAAAGGAAGTTGGCAGGGGGGTTTTGGGGGGAGGCACTCCCCCCATTACAAAATGGTGTCGAGAATGGGAATTGAGTTGAATGGGCTGTTTTTTCCTAGTAGTAGACCTTTTCCCCTGGATTTGGGCTTTTTTTTTTAACCCCCATTCCAATTGGGTTGGACCATGTACCGATAAAGGGTGGGGGGTAGTAGGGATAACCTTCACCATGTGTGGGTGGAGGAGGATGTGGAACGTAAACATTTGCTGTATTAGATGATCCACGTCTATCAACCTGCAGTCCAGATCCAAACATTTTAGATACTAAACTAATTGCCATTGGAATTCCAATAGATGCAAGAGTTCCAAGAAATCCTCCTTCTATTTGTTTACGAGTTGGTTTAATAACTAATCGCCCTCCTGTTTGATAAGCTTTGTTAATTTGATTTATTTGTGATTTGGTAAATTCTCTTACAAGAGGAGGTAACATTGGGAAAAACTGTGGGGGAATTGTGATTCCTTTTCCAAATATTTTATTTAGTCCAATTTCTCCAAGTGCAGTGGCAGCACCAGTTGCTAATGCAGGAACAACTTTTGAAACTCCTTTTATTGCGTAAGGTAGAACTTTTGCTCCAAGAGATGCGAGTGATGAAAACAAGTTTCCACCATGTTTTACAGAACGTCTAATCTGTGTACGACTTATCTTTATATCTGATCCTGTTCCATTTGCAATAGATTTTTTTATTTTATTAATTTGTCTGCTGGTTAGCATTAACTCATCAGAACCTCGAAGATGAGAGTGTTTTAATCGAAGAGTTAGTGGTGATTTATTTAATATGGCAGAAGCCAGTTTTGACTTTTGACCATCTGTAAGTTTTACTCCATATTCAATATAAGTAGTTGCCATTTTTATTAAAGTGTTTATATTATTTTAGGTCTCTATGCGTAATATTTTCGCCATTCTACAAGATATTTACTCCATAAGTCGCTCATTTTTTTTTAGGTTTAGGTTTAGGTTTATGTATTTTTTTTAGCGTGTTATCAACAAAATTATAAATATTAAGTTTATTTCGTTTAGTATTCAAAGACTTTAATTTCTCAGCATTTTCTTTTTTTAAAGTCTCAAGTCGGTCTTGTAGCTTTAATTTTTTTTCTTTCTTAGCATTTTCTGTTTTTAAAGTCTCTAGTCGGTCTTGTAGCTTTAATTTATTTAATTTTTTGGTTTTTCTAGCATTTTCTGTTTTTAAAATCTCAAGTCGATCTTTAGCTCGTTGCTTTATCAGTGAATGATTTAAACTAGTAACAAAAGGCAAAGTTTTTTTAAACTGAGTTTTACTGAATTTTAAATCAACTTTTTTCTTAAGTTTTTTTGCAACTTCTACTTTTTTGATTTGGGTATTTGTAAGAAAAACTTTATAAGGTTCTTTATTAGATGTAAAGTCTAAAGTTATAATATTGTTTTTTCCAAATTCTTTTATTTATGATGGTGTTAAATTTATAACATATTCAAAGTATTTATTTTCTTTTAAAAAAGGATATTTTTCTAAAGTTACTGGTGGATAAATATCAAAAGGATTTACCATTTTTATTTTACTTTTAGATTAATTAAGCCCTAAGCAATAGTTTTCCATCTTGTTGTGATATTTCTGCTATTCTTTCATGTAAGACTAATGCGTAAATATTATAACCAGCGTTTGGATTAGCAGTTAATTCGTAATGAAATGCTAATTTTGTAACACCATCTTTGATATCCATTTTTTGTTTTGTTAGGTCAAAATAAACAAAAGGAAATAAATTTTTAAAGTTACCTATATTAAGTAATGTTCCACCTTGATAATCATTATTTGCATAGACGTATGACATTACATTTCTAAAAACTCTTGACATATCTGTAGAAGGTTTAAAATGAATATTTGGGTATTCGTTTCCATTTGCAACTTCCAGGTAGCAATCTCTTATATTAGCATTATTTGGTAGATTAAAAGTGTCGTATAAAAATGGATTTGCTGTTTGTGAATCAATTCTTGCCGTGTTAATTCCAAAAACAAATACATGCCTTGGTTTTGAAATAGCATTTGTAATTCTAAAATGTCCTGTCTGTTGCTGTGAATTATTTGATCTTTCAATTACTTCATTCAAATACGTCCATTTGTAAGGTTTAAGATAATTTTCCATATACAACTTTTGTCCTTCTGAATTAAACGTAAGTTTTGGAATAAAAAGTTGTAGTCTTGTTATAATAACTCTACAATTATCAGCTGCTTGAAAAATTAAATTTGCATCTTTTTCAATTTCGATATTTAGCTCAATTTTTGTATTTGGAAGTAGTTTATCTTCCAATGCTTCAAAGAAAGAATATCTATTAAGAGGAATTTCACAGTTTACTGTGGCCGATGTACCTAGTAGTGTTTTTCTTTTATGAAAACCTTTATTATAAGTTGTTTTTCTTTTAGCTAGCTGATTTGTGCCACTAACTTCAAATTCTCTTTCCTCTGCATTTCTTGATGAATCAAGAAAATAAAATTCGTTTGTAGCAACACTCTTAGCATATGAAGGATTATACTCAAGAATATTTTTAATATTTACAATATGATTTGCGTAGTTACAACTATAAACTTCTCTTCCATTTGCTATGATACTTAATTTTTCTATAAATGAGTTACTACCATTTACAATTCCGTTATGGTCTGCAATCGCTAAATTTCCTCCATCTGCTAGCTTATTTACTTTAAAATCCATTGACAGCCTTGCGTTATACCAATCAAAAGGAGTAGTTTCTCCTGTGTTATCAGCAACAAATCTAAGACCTGTTTTAGTTTGGTGAGCGTTATTTGCTGGAGCCGTATCTAGAGACTGTTCCAGGTCAAATACAACATCCTCATATCTATCTAAATATTTTGGATTTCTAAAAGACTTCATTTTTATTTTAATAATTATATAATTTTCTCTTACGTGTTGAGCCTCCACTAAGAAGGTTAGTTAATGTTTGATCTATCTCTTGTTGTCTTATTTTTTCAACATTTTTATTAAAAGTAACTTTTTTCTTGGAGGGAGTAGCCTTTTCTTTGGATAACATTTGCACTATTTTATCACCAGCCTTTTTACCTACATGTTCACCAGTTTTTGTTGCAGCTGCTGTCACTGCTTTTTCAGCACCCTTTTTAGCAGCTTTTTTCATTGTTTTTCCAAATATTTTTTTACCAAAAGATTTAAAAACATCTGTTAAACCTTCTCCATAAATATGTTGTCTTGTATATCTACCCAATTCAGGGTCAAGTTTTATTTTAAACTCTGATTGTCGCATCATTTTAATTTAATAGTTATATTACATTGAATGGAGTATCAGTGTCATAAACCAATCTATACCATTAAAATTTACTGGTCTTCCAAGTGAGTCAGTAACATAGATTCTCATTTCATCAATGTGAAATGAAGAGACATCACAATACAATGGTCTTTTAGGTTCAAACGTAAATGGAAAAGACCTTGTGAGATTGTCTGTTGGTATCACAGCAATAGTATTTGTATTTATTCCATTTACAATACTATTAGTTATTGCGGTTGTGTTTATATTTAGTACATCAATTGAATTTGTGATATTTGGTAGTTTTGTTCCATACTCTGTTTTTGTAATAAGTTTCTTTTCAAATCCAATTAGGTCTCCAAATTCTGTTCCTCTCAGATCAAGTTGATAATCACCATCAAGTGATATGAGAACTCGATAGGTAGATAGTATAAAAGTTAGATTTATTGAATACTTCTTTTTTCCACTTGAATCTGTGGTGTGGTGAGACTTTTGAGACATATATTGATGAAGGTAATCATTGATATCTGAGTAGGAGTACATTCCATCTGTAAAAGTAATTGTTTGCCAGGTAGATCCATCATGAGTGTATTTGATTTTGTTATTATCATAATCACTTCTAATGTTGTACCAAGAATAAGTCATAGACAACCGATCAAGAGCAAGTTGATGTTTCTTTTCAGGGTTAAGTTTCAGAGATGGATTAAACTTGATAGTAAAATCACCAGGTCTGCTTGTACCTCTTTTTTCCCTATTTATTGAGGAAATGTGAATAGCTCGTTCTTCCATTTTTATCTTATTGGTATATAACTTTTTAGTAAATCATTCAGTTGTTTTTTTGAGACAACCCCCATTTGGTTGAGAAGATGTGCTATTTGAGAAAACTCAGGTATCACGCCATTATTATCAGCAAGAATTGAGCCACCGAGTAATTCAAGTCTGTCTAGAAGTTGATGTGGGTTGTTAAAGTAAATCATTCCAGAGCCAGATTTTGTTTTATAATACTTAAGATTACTTAAATTTGTTGCATATATGCTTAATATGTTAAAATTTTGTATAAATTTTATTGTGTTTTCATGTGGTTTTTTACTAATTGGTTTAGCTAAAATATAGCCGTTTGAGTCACGTGTGAAAAATGCAGTATTTTTTATTGCTTTATTAATATAGTCTAAATCTTCATGAACATCTTCAATTACTTTATTAATGGTAGAAACATCCTCTTTAAAATACTCAGAAGGGAGTTTGTAATATTCGTTATTTTTTAGTATATCTTGTGATTCTTTACTCATTAAATATCTATCGAGATCTTCAGGTGTAAATTTTGCTATTTTTGCTCCCTCATCTGATGTAGAGGGTAAAACTCCATCATCTTCTTTAGACTCTTCAAAACCAGGTAATTGAGCCAAATCCCATTTTTTTACTTCATCAAGTTTATCAAATCCTTCAGTTATAGCAAGTCTGTTTTGATTAAGACCTTGTGTAAGAGCAAGTTGATTAGCTCTGAGTTGAGCTATAGTTGCGTTTTGCTGCTCATCAATACTTTTTTTAATGCTATCTTGAGATTTAATAAGTGGTTTAAATGTCTCTTTGAAACCCTCTCTCATATCTTGTTTTTGCCATTTTGTTGTTTTTATAACATCTCTCACCTGTTGAGTCAAAGCATCAGCTTCAATTTTATTTCTTGCAAGTTTTTTGTATTCTTCAATATTCATTTATATATTCTTTAGATAAATGGAAATACCAAACTATGATAGTGGTGACAACCCAGATAAAAAATATAAACAGTTATTTCCTTACATGCCATCAAACACATTTCGGATGTTAATCTGTGGAAATAGTGGAAGTGGTAAAACTAATACGTTGTATCATATGTTAATCAAACCACTACTTTATTATGATGAAATTTATCTTTACGCGCGTAATTTAGAACAGGATTTGTATCAAAAGCTAATTCAAAAAATGAGAGAGTTAAGTCATAAACTGGGATATGAAATACTTCATGTTAGTAATGATGAAATAATCCCAGTGTCAGAAATGGATTACGAAGACAATCAAAAACTTGTGATATTCGATGACTATGTTTGTGATAAAAACCAGAGACAACTGATTGATTATTTTATTCAAGGACGACATAAGAATTGTTCTGTAATCTACCTCAGTCAATCGTTTTATAAAACACCAAAAGATATTCGGTTGAATTGTTCTCATTACTGCCTGTTCGAATTTCCATCATCGAGGGAGTCTAATAGAATATCATCTGAGTTGGGGGTTAGTAAAGAAGATTATAAAGCAGCAACTAAAAAACCGTATTCATTTCTATATGTTGATAAACCAAAAAAACGTATTGCAAAAAACTTTACTGGTAATCTAACCTAATAATTAAAATGGGGATATTTAATGAACAATCTCTTGATCATCCCTTTGCTAAGGGAATACAAGGTGCACCAGGAGTTGGATTTAATCTCACTTCAAGTGGGGATTATGATATGATAAATAAAAAACTAAGAAATGTTGGTGCGCCTAGTGCTAATACTGATGCTGCTACAAAAAAGTATGTTGATGATAATTCCACTGGAACTCCCTCAACATCACGACTAAGAGTTGATTCAAACATTGATATGAAGGATCAGTACCGTATTCTAAACCTCAAACATCCAGTTGACGCAGATGAACCAGCCACAAAACAATACTCAGACAGTCGTTTTCTTGACAGAAATGGTTCACGAACAATGATTGGCGATCTAAGCATGAATAATAATAAAATAATTAAACTTGGCGCTCCAACAGCTAATGATGACGCAGCAAACAAAAAGTATGTTGATGATAATTCCACTGGAACTTCCTCAAGACTAACAGTTGATTCAAACATTGATATGAAGGACCGCTACCGAATTACAAATCTTGTCGCACCACAGGATTCTAAAGATCCAGCAACAAAATATTACGTAGACAACACATTCCTTGACACAGATGGATCTTACCCAATGAAAGGAAATCTTAATATGGCCAACAATCGAATATTAAATCTTCCTAATCCAACAGGTTCCAATCAACCAACACCATTAGCTTTCACAGATTTAAAGTATCTCCATGTTGCTGGTACAAATAAAATGACTAATAATCTAAACATGGATAATAAAAAAATAATTAACCTTAGACCACCAACAGACTCCACAGACGGTGCAACCAAAAAGTATGTGGATGACTCTAAAGTTGATGGAAGTGTCTTTTTAAAAATAGATGGAACAAGAGTAATGACTGGGGTTTTAGATATGGAGTTTAATAGAATACAAAATGTAGGCGATCCTTTAGGTCTTAGTGATGCAGTGCCATTGTATTATGCTGCAACAAAATATCTTAATCTTGATGGAACATTTAATAAAATGACTGGAAATATAAACATGAACAACAATAAAATATTAAATCTATCAACTCCAACATCAAATACAGATGCTGCAACAAAAAAATATGTTGATGATAATAGTGGAAGTCCAGATTTAAGTGATTACTTGGAAAAAGATGGTAGCGTCGCTATGACTGGTAATCTTAATGTTGGTAATAATAAAATAGTTAACCTCAGTGACCCCACCACAGATCAAGAAGCTGCTAATCGCGGATGGGTTCGTAAACAAATAGAAAGGTTTGATCATCATTCTGGAGATGGAACAAGTGGTGTATTTACTATAACAGATCCAGCTGCGGCAACGACTTTGTATCTACAGTTTGTCTCAGGTTCATCATCTGATGATTTTGTTTTTACAACATCAGCACCTGGTCAACCTCTTGTAGGGTGGGCACCAAATGCTAACACATACATTAACAAAATAGAATTTCAATTTGGTTCGCGGAACGTAAATGTTGACTTTCTGTGGTTTATTCCCAGAGATAGCTCTCATTCCAATTCTAACTTTTGGGTGAGTGGAAATCGCACTGGCACTTGGTCATTAATTATTCAGAAGTCTTGGAGTTATGATATGTCTGGAGTAAAACTAAGAACTCATAACAATTCAAATCACTTAGCTATCACTTGTCGGTTATTCACTGATTTACCAAAAGCGATAACCAAACCACTTAAGAGAATAGAAATCAACACACCTAAAATTGTAATAAGTGGGGTTGTAAAAGCCGATGTCAACCTTGGTGATAATAAAATAAAGAATCTGGGTGTACCAACCCAAGACAATGAAGCAACAACCAAAGGTTATGTTGACAATCTAGTTCATCTTACTGCAGTTCAGCCAAGTCATTATAAAGATGAGTTTGCTTATCTCATGTCAAGTGGAGCTCAATGGACTGATGAAATGGATGGAGGAGTTAGTTTACTTATAAAAAGTATAGGAGATTTACCACCAAACAAAGGAAACTTTCACAACTATAACCACAAAGTTATTTACATGAGTATAATAAAAAATTCTCAAGGTAAATATATTTATAAGATGGGAATTAATTTTTACAGACTAACTGCAAATACTGATTACACGTTGTGTTTGGAAATACTCAACACTGATTATAATCTTTGGAATAATACTCAAATAAGTGTTGACAAAGGAACTTCAAAAGGATTATCAATTGGAAATGTAATTGTAAAAAAACTATCCCATAGGTATACTGATGCAGCAGGGAAAACACAAACTATGTACTACCACAGAATAATAGTTAATTTCAGAAAGTTGTCATCTGGGAATAAGTTCTTTCTTCACATTTTGGTTGATATTCTTCGTGGTGGATATATCCTGTCTGCGTATCCGTTATTTTTTCAAGGAGTTTACATCATTGCTTATGGTATTATGGGTACATTTAGTAATATCGATCCAGATAAAGTTTACGATTATCACACCGCATTTGACATCAAACCAACAGAAGTTAAGTATAATGTTGATATTAATGCAAATCAAAAAGCAATTAAAAATATCAAACTTGACCGAAACAATGATAATAGTGCTGCAACAGTTGCACTTGTAAAAGAACTAGCTCCTCACACTAAAAATTCTTTGTATAGATTATACTTTAGTGAATTTTATGACTTTACTGATGCGGATACTTACGGAATAAATATAGGCTCATTTGGAGTTATGATTAATTCTTTGAAACCTAATATTACACTACCTCATAATAAAGACCTAAGTGAAATAACAGAAAAAGGATTACATATTAATGGTTATAATATTACTTTTTCTCCTTTACATTCTTCGAAATATACTTTATGTATTGTTTTTAGTCATTGGAGAAATAGGAGTTTTACCCTAACTAAATATTTATCAACAAACAATAATATTTTAGTAAAATTGGATTATAATAAATCAAACAATAAAGTAACTTTAACTGTCAACAAAACAACTCAAAATTTTACAATACTAAGTAGTTTTAACGGAAAATTTATTGTTTTATGGCTAACAGAAAATCTTAATGCAAATGTCACAAAAGCTTCAATAAGTAACTACAGCTCAACATTAACTATACCAGCTGTTAATTACAATGCTAATCAACGTTGGAAGTTTACAACTGAAGATGGAGTGTTAAATAAATTAATGTACTCTCCAAACTTTTACGACACTGACTCTGAGCAATTTCACAAAGTAATGCTTCAAGAAAAGTTAAATGGAAGTTATGTAATGTAAATATAAATGAAAAGAAATAGTATTAAAAAAAAGAGTATTTTTGAATTTTAATCATATCGATAAATCTTTATCAGAAGAGCAAATAGAAACTATAACAGACCTTTATAAACATTACCATAAGAAACATTGGTGTTATAAGAAATCTTATAAATCTTATAAATTTCTAGATAATTTTTTTACTATTTCTAGTTTGTCTCTTATTGCTGTAGGCACTATCTCAGGAGGGTTAACACTCAATCCTATTATTCTTGGAGTAGTAAATGGTGCAGGAGTAATTGTGGGTGGGGTTGCAAAAAAGAAGGATTTTAAAAAGAAGATAGAAACAACAAAAATGGCATATACCACTTATGAAAAAGTGCTCGTTGAATTACGATCAGCACTCAGAGGAGATGAGTGGAATAAGGAAGAATTTATAGATCGTATTAAAATATTAGATGAAATAATAATTGATCATTGCCCATCAAGTGCTGATAACTTTGTAGAGAAGTATAAAAATAAATTTAATATAGATTAAATATTAGTGTTAATATTTAATCATAAGTATCTAAAGGTAAATTTTTGATTATCTTTTTTTGAAGTTGCTGATTTACAATACTTTTTTTTCCTACAAATATCAGAAATATAAGCAGAATTAATATCCATTTCATTTGCAGCTTTTTTGATGGATATAAATCTTCTTTCTTTTCCATTTTTAATACAAGTAGAAATTATTGCCTTATTTTTACTTTTTTCAACATTTTGTTTATGAGTAAGTAGTTGCAAATTTTTAATTCTATTATCACTCTTCACAGGAAAAATATGATCAACTTCAAAACCATGTGGAATTGGTCCTTTGAAAACTTCATAAACAAATCTATGTTGATAGTAAAACTTTTGTTTTTCTAGTTTTTTACTACAAATAATAAAAAATAAATAACCATTAGAATCTTTATTTTTATTTATTATTTTCTTTCTTTTAAGAGAGTAAATATCACCATCTTTATTTGCAGCATAATTAGAAAACACTGGGTGTTTGTAGTATTTTACACCATCAATTATAACTCTTTGTTTTATTTTTGAATCCATTATTTTATAGTAGCCATACTTTCTAATTGATGGTAATACCTTTGAAATTACCCATCTTTTAAAATTTTTAGCTGTCTCTAATTTGGAAGATAATACAAGAGAATAAAATCCACTTTCATTTATAAAAACACAATTTTGTAAACCCCCCGCCGTTTTGGCGGGTCCTTTATATTTATCTTCCCTGTCTACATGCATCCGGATAGCTTTATCAGTATCTCGGTATCCAAGTATTTTAGCCACATCTTTAGCTTTGAACCATACTCTAAATTTTTCATCGATGTAAGAATTAAACTTAATTCCAATTTGTTGATTTATAAAAGATTTCTCTATAACATTTTCCATTTTTATTTATACTTTTTATTTCTTTAAGCCTTTATTAATTTTCTATCTAAACAAATTATACAATTTTGTTTTCCTCCAAGGGGGCCGTAAATCGCGTCCCCCTTTAATCCATCTCTTGACCTGACCTCGCGAATCGCGAGGGCAGCTTTTTTATATTTTTTTGAAATATAAAAATTATGGATATAACTTTTTCTCTCTTAAAAGTTTTTCAAGTGATTTAAAATCTTTTCTATCCATAAATTCTTCCCATTGTTTTTTCTGTTCCTCATTCATTGTAAGACCATAGCCTTCAGCAAAATAAGCATCTTCATCTATTTCTCTTTTATTAAAATAAAATTGTTCTGGAGCACGAGTTTTTTCAAGTGCCTCAACCAATTCTTTTAGTTTTTTTCCTATTACAGGATCTTCAACTTCAACATAAATTTTCATAGGAATGTATTCATCAGTATCTAGTTGAATATATTTTCTTAGCTCGTAAAAACGAGTACTCTCTTGGTTTTTTTTTAACTCCTCTATTATTTTTAATAGATCCTCAGGTTCCTCAGGTTCCTCAGGTTCTTTTGAGTAATCTACTTCCTCATAAATATTAGCTAAAAATTCTCTTTCTTTTAGTGATGGATTGTTAAGGTTAATAAATCCAAGTATATCGCCTAAAGATCTTTCCATTTCAACCAAGTAATCTAAAACATATAGATGAAGTTTGTATAAAACTTCACATATATGTTCTAGATTTAACAACGATCTAGGATTAATTTGTATTCGCATTCTTTATTTTATTATATATATAATTAATTTTTTCTGTTTTGTAATGAGTATCTTTAGTCAATATTTTTGGTTTTGTATCTGGAAATCTTTTTAAATGGTCGTAAACAGGACTAATACAAGAAGTCCTATGATCTTTATCTCTTCTTTCTAATGTTCCATAACTGATGCGACCTTCAAATACTTCCCCATCAGGAAATTCGTAATAATAATAAAATACTTCTTGTGGTATACCTAACAATCTTTTAGCTTCTTCTTTTTTTAAAATGTAAAACTCTTTTCTTAATTCTTTGAGGTAAAGATCTATTGATTCTCCTTCTGATGGAATAGCGTCTTCAAATATATATTCAAATAAATCTCCACAATTAATTGAATCAAATAATTTTTTTGCTTCAAATTTGGGTGTACCAAGAAATCGCTTACTCATTTTATTAATAATAATTTATTTCTTTAAACCTTTATAACAATTCCACCATTCTTCATAAATCTCAAAAGTTATAGAACTAATCTTAAGTTCAATAAGTTTATACTTTTCACAACCCATCTCCTCCAAAATTTTTTTTGTTAAATAATTAATATTTATCATTCTCTTTCTAAAGTATTGCTTGTTTAGTATTTCCATGATATGATTATCTATTTTTGTTAGTTTATCGTAAAGTTCACATTTTTCTTCATCATTTAGGTTTATTCTTTTAGAAATTTCATTTACCTTTTTCTCATAGTGGTATTTCCTATGGTAAATACTCTTTTTTCTATAATGCAACCTATCCAAATCTTTTACGTCAAATATTCCTAATACATGACCGTTGTCTGCACCACATTTTTCACAAATTTTAAGGCCAGAATCTATTGTAAAAAATTCAGTATTTGGACAATTTAAACATTGTGCTTTTTTACTAACTTGTTGAATAGGTGGTTTTTTATAATTATGAAGTATATCTAAATATTTTTTTATTTCCTCCTCTGTATAAGACATTTATTATCTAATACTTTACTACTTTTAAATTATTTTTTATCTAAAAGCTAAAGTATGCACTTTATTCTCTAAAACAATGCGCTTATCATCTTCATTACTCAGAGCTATTTTATTAACTTCTTTAGAATATATATCATGTTTTTCACTTCTTATTATTTTCATACTTCTCATTTCTTTCTCACCTGAAAATAAACATTTAACATAATCATCAAAATCCATTGTCTTTTTTACAACATTTTTCTTTACTCCTTTACACTTTTTGACTTCCCTACCCTCTTCAATTTTAAAACTATAAATTTTGGGTCGCAGCCCAACAAAATGTGTTATCTGTTTTCCTGCTACTTCATCTTTAAACATTCCAATAACTTTTTTATTAGCTCCTGTTAGTATTCCAGATTCATGATTGGGAGGATAATCTGAAGTGTCAAACTTATCTCTTACATCAGGACATATATCAAGATAAAAATCTTTTGTTTTAATCTCATACATTAGACTATCCGTATCTGTAAACAATAATTCTGCTTTATTTTTATATTTCTCTTTAATGTATGTGTAATGAAAATTAAACATTAGTGTTTTTGATAAATCTAGAATTGCTTGACCAACATATACTGGTTTATTAAAATACACTTCAGTATTTAACATATGAATTGCTATAAAATTGTGATCAAATATTGTCGCTCTATCAAAGTTTGGTCGATTTGCTAGTTTGACAGCTCTCTCACGATTATTAACAAGTTCTATATTTTGTCGCTTCCTTATATTTTCTATTGTTTTTCCAAAAACTGAGTTATTCATTAGTTTGAAAAAGTCTTTCTCAAAACTGTTGGACGCTCTCTTTCGAAGTTCTGTATTTTTTCGGATATATGGTTCCATCCAAGGAGACTGATAAAATGACACTCCTCTATGAACAGCAGTAAGCCTCATACCCAACTCAAGATACTGTCTAAGATTTCGGTAATGCACAACATAGTGCTTTCGGGGTTTAAAATGACAAAATAATTTTTCAACACCATTAACAATCATTCTCTCAGGTGCAAGAGGATAGTCATTATGTGACTCCCATAGACCAGGTGGATATTCCAAATCAACTTCAAATATATAACCTTTACTCCCAAGATTTGACATACTATGATTTGCTTTCTCAAGAATATCCATTACCTTTTCTATTGTAATATTTTCCATCCATTTAAATCCATGTGTTGGAAGATTTTGAGTCATTGCCCATCCATAAAGATTGTTTGCGTCGAGATATTGAATAAAGGAGGACTCCTCATCAGGATTATAATATTCCATATATTTATTATTTGCTTCTGCATATCGCTTTGATATATGAGTTATACCTCCTCGTATTCCACGCTCAATCATCATTAACATATCATAATCATGTAGTAATCGTAATTGCTGACCTGTTTCTTTTAGACATGCATCCTAAGCTAAACCTGGGGAAGTGTAATAGTGAACTGGATCTAATTTGTAATGTTTGAGACAAGTTTTCCTAAAGTTTTCAAATACATCTGCTAGCAGTAATACATCAGATTTGAGATAAAGATTGTGATAATCTCTTATTGTTTTACATTCAAAAGTATTCCATACTTTAATTGCATGTTTGTAATCAGCATCATTAATATCTTCATCATTTAGTTTTGAATAGAACTCCTCTTTGGGTGGAAGTTGTGTTTCTGATAATTTATCAAGTGAAGAAACATAATCATAAGGATAAACTCCCTTACGAATTAGTAGATCTACATTTTTCTTGAATACATGTTTTGTGTTATGAAAATCATCTGGTGATAGATTTCCTACAAGATTGGCAAGTGATGTTTGAAGAAACTTGAATGAATCTAAAAATCGTATTTCAAAATTTATATCAATCATTTTTCCAAATTTTGACCAATAATACTCATCAACTTTAATATTTTTTGAAAATGAAATATATTTTTCTTCCGTAGATGGAAAACAATTTATTTTTCCTTCTAATCTAGCAATTTGTTTTATAAACAGATGAGCATCATAACCTTGAAGATTGTGAAATATAACTGGTAATAATTTTGGTTTACGACACATAAGATTACATTTGTTATGCGCTGCTCCACGATACTGACCTGTAAAATGACAATGATCTCTAACTTTATCCTCTTTTAATTCACCACCACAAATATGACAGTTAACTTCAGAATCAAATGATTTTTGATCTGCACTAGTTAGTCTAAGAGGTTTTGGTTTTTTATAAAAATTATTATAAATTTCTTTAGTTACTTCTACAAGTTTTTCTACAAATACTTTTGATATATCCTCATCTTCGGAGGTTTTTGTATAAAAGATTGGTTTAATATTTTTATCTATTATTCCCTTTACATAAAAACAAAATCCTGATGGTTCATGTTTTTGATAGTTGTAATTATAAGAGTCTTTTGGATTAGGACTGCAACTATTCATTGGTTTAGTAAAGCATTCAAAATCTGCATAAACTACAAAAGGAACAGGAAATCTTTTGTGATAATTTTTAAAGTATAACATTGTGTTTGGTTCAGGCATTTTTACAATCGTTGTTTCATTATTTGAACAATATCTAATATGTTTTTCTAATAATTCTTCTTTAGTGTAATGTGTAAAACATCTCTTACAAATAAATATTTTTCCTTTACTACTTACAGTTTTTTGTGACCTTACTAACCTGTGAAAATTTTTAATAAGAGTATAATGTGAGACACCATCTTCTTCGTACAAAAATAAATCAATAGTATTTTTACAATCTCTATTTGCCTCTCTCAAAGGATAAATAATCATACCATCTTCAGAAAAAACATTTATTCCTGGAATATCAGGATTAAGTTTTTCAAATTGACTAATATTTTTTAATTTCATTGGAAAAGTAATTCCTTTAGTGTTAAGTGAAAACTCATACTTTTCTAAATCTTTTATTCTTTCCTCATCTCTCTCTCTTGGATGAAGATATCTGAGTATACACCAAAGAAAGCATTTGTCATCTTTATTTTTAATGTTAACAATTGCTTTTTTATTTTTTATCCAAGAGGGAAGATCAATATAAGTCGATCCTTTGGTTGGATTAAACTTAATAGTATTAACATCAAGCCTTAAAACTTCTTTAAAATACCACCCGCTTCCATTTTTGGTAAACTCTTCTATATCATTTATAATTTTTTTCATACATTTTACTACTATTTCTTCTTCATTTGATGATTCATAATTTTTATAAGTTTTCGAACTAAAATATGCTTTAAACTCCTCTAATTCTTGAATTCCTTCTTTTGTTTTAATTTTAACTCTTTCCATTATACAAACCATAACCATTTTTAATTTAATATTTCTATGCTCCTTCAATAAATTTAATAAACTAGCATAAACTCTATTATAATATTCAATTGGAGAAATACCAGGAATTCCCTCTAAAACATACTTAACAACAAGATTATTAAAAGCTGATTTTTCTATTTGAATTCCTTGCTCATGTTCATACATAGCTCGCTCAAGAGATCTACGTAAGTAATCTGGAGTATCTGGTGGAATCTCTTTATTTTTTATACATTCCTCAAAATACTCTTCAAATGTTTTTATCTTTTTTTTCTTCTTATATTCTTTTTTTATATCAATACCTTTTCTAACTTTTTCTCTAGCTTTTACCAATTTTTTATATTGTTTAATTAATCTTTTTCTTGATCCTAATTCCTTATAATCTTTCTTAAGTCCTTCTTTTTCTGCTTCTATTATATTTTTTATTTCATCTAAAGACAAATTCTTAAATTGTTTATCTGTTATAAAGGGTGTACTACCCCACGAACCATTTGCTTGGTTAGACATGACGTCTTATAATCTTATAATTAGATTATAAGACTTTAAGCTTTTTTTTTTAATCACTTTCACTTTCACTTTCATTTTCAATTTCTCTTAGATTTTCTCTTATAAATTCACTTTCACTTTCACTTAAACTATCATTTTCTTCATCTTTCTCAACATATTCTTCATTAATATCATTTTCAAAATCTTCTTCATATTTAATATTAACATTATTAGTAAAGATGATAAAATTCTCAAAAAAATCTTGAAATTCATCATCTGTAAAAAAGTCAGAATAAAAAGTGTTTCCCATATGAAAATATAGCTCAAATCTTAGATCAATTATTTTATTAACAGCACTTAATTTAAACTCTAATTTACTAATATTTTGAAGTTTCCTCATTTTTTGAGCCTCCAAAACATTTTTAAAGTGACTAATAAGTGTTCTTGCTCTTGAAGACCAAAAAACTTTTTCCAAAGAATCAGTATTTTCTACAAGAAATTCTATAAACTCACCACACTTCTTATTAATCCCTCTTATGTAAAGCCATTCTTTTTTGAAGTCTTTTGCATATTCAGGAATCTTATTATTTTCTGTCATTTTCTGATTATTTTGACTTGAAAAGTGCGCCAGATATGCCATTCTACTAACTACTAATACTTCTGACTGAGAATTCTTGCTTGTCGTCAGTCGTTTTTAATGAAAGCTTGCATCTCATGACTCAAAAATGTAACCCAGTGAGGAGTTGAGGCGAAGAGACGTTAAGTTTATTTAGTGACTAACGCTTATAGAAAGAAGTCTTAAAACGATGAAGCTTTGTAAAAAACTTACCGGTACGTGGGATAATAGAATGGCAATCCGAAAACGAGAGCCATGTTATAGAAACCCTTGCTTGTAATTCCACTCCTTGAAAATCTCCAGCCAAATCTTGATTCTTCAGAGAACGTTTTGAACTGTTTGTCGGTGAGCCTGAAACGCACTTTTATAGCGAAAAATTTCTTTCTCGAACCTTCGATAGTAACTAAAATTAAATAACCATAGTCAGCGTTTTGTAATATAATGACTTGTTGTTTTTCTGTTTCTCGTGAAAGGACCAGAGGTTTCTCGAAAAATTACTTTCTTGAAGTATCGATGCCAGGTACTAAAATTAAATCATTCGTCACTGGTTCGTAAGATACGTAAGAATGAACCGATCTTTTTCTTTTATTCGTGAATTCACGAGAAGTTTCTCGAAGTTTCGAGATAGTGAAGTGGTTTTACATCGCGCGAAAGGATTTTTGGGATATTCTAACCTCATTTTCAACAAATTATAAAGACAAAATGGCGGACACCGGAATGGTACGTTTCGTGGTGACATATATGCCAACAAGTGTTAGAGTTAAAAGAAAATCAGATTAGATGATACTTCATGGCTGCGATGTACTAAAAGACCTAGTATCTCAGTTAAGGAGTTGGAATTTTCTTCGCTAGCAGTGTACACAAGCAATGCCTTCTTACCGGTGGTAACTATCACATCGTCAGCTTGCTCGAATAGCAAGGTATACTGAAAAGCACCGCAGCTAAATCTCCTAACCAGGGCCAATATTTAAAGTGTTGTCTTCCTACACTAAACAAGAAGGAAACTTTGCAGCTGTAGTAAGTTTGCCTCGGTTATATGACGGCTCGTTAAATTTTATTTATTATTGTTATTTTTATTTTCATATGTTAACATGTTTGTTAAAGAACAGCTTGCTAAATTACAACGTCCAAGATAGTCGTCAGATGCACGGGAGTCAGATCAAGTCAGTTCCTGTTGATATACAGTAAAGCAATAACTCGAGAAGAAACTGAGAAGAATTTGCTGCTCTTGTCGAAAATTGTTCGTTTTAATTTTCCTTGTCACCACTCTTTGTATCTTTTGTGCCATGGACGTGTATTGCGTTTAGTTCTTCTTTTGTATACATTAGAAACTTTTCGGGCTCGCTTGCTTCCGATCTTTAATTCGAACGTTCGTAACGCAAACAACTTGTGTGTACGAAAGATAGCGCAGCGTAACGACGCTCCATTGAGATCGTTTAACAATGCTTTGTTTAAGTGGTTTTGAACTATATTCTCGTTGGGTGCCCCTGATTGAGATCTTTACAGTGTGTTCCTAGCAAGAAACATGTCTATTTTTTTATTTTATTTTATTTATTTAATTTTTTTATTCGTCAATTCAGACTTCACTGCGACAGTAAGCCACTCGAATATATGTTTGAAAGTCAGGCTGCTTTGCGGTTCAACAACATTTCCCGGAAGCCAACTCCGAATTCGAGGAAAACAAAGAAATGCTAAATAGTGAAATGGAGGGAGGAGGAGCGGGGGGGGGGGGGGGG